GAAGATAAAGTTACTTAAGTAAAATTGGAATACATCTGAAAAGTAGAGTGCACACATGTTAGCAAAGTTGGAGAAACACCAGTGCATTACCCAGATTAGATTAAGGGCTTAAGGGCACACTGGGAACGATCACCAGCCAGATCAACCACACTGAACCTTAAACTAGACCAAACTTCACACTTACAGGGAACACCCACTGAAAGGCTGGTACAACTAAGTGACAAGCACATTCTCTCCCTTCAGTTGAGGAAATGCAAGAATCAAGTTCAACCAAAATAAGGATAACAATCAAAGCTCAATACAATTTGGAACCTCTGGCAAATCAGGTTTAGAAATCACGTTCCAGTCCCAGACCAACACATTGGTACAAACCTTCCCTTTTCTCATGAACAACTATCTCTTATCCCTTTTACTTTGCCCACTCAGTGTAGGCTCTGGATCACACCTCCCTCCCCCCCAATCTCCATCTCCTGTCTAAGGCAGTTCCAAGGGCAGCTCCTGGAGTCAGTCTCCAGGAAGAAGAATGGATCTGGCCTCAGCAGAAGTCCTTAGTTCTCCCTAGTTCTCTACTGCCTCTTCACATTTCTATTACCCTGCACTTCCTTCCCACAGCCTTATACTCCAATATCACTCATATACCAGAGGCCTGACACCCCCATTTGTGTGTGTGTGTGTGTATGTGTGTGTGTGAGAGAGAGAGAGAGAGAGAGAGAGAGAGAGAGAGCGCAACACACAGACACAGAGACACAGACAAACACTGGAGTTCGAGAGGTTTGAACTCAGGGCTTCGCAAATGCAAAACAAACCACTCTACCATTTGAGTCACATCTCCAGTCCATTTTGCTCTGGTCATTGGAGATGAGTCTCATGAACTATCTGCCCAGGCTAGCCTCAAACTGCGATGCTCCCTGATCGCAGTTTCCCAAATGCTAGCTACTGGAGCCCAGCTGACACTCCCATTTTTAAATAAACAAATACATACATGTAAATATAAATATATGTATACACACACATATGTATGTATTTTGGGGGTGGGACTGGGATTTGAACTCAGGGCTTTGCAATTGCAAAGCAGTCACTTTACCAATTGAGCCACACCTCCAGTTCATTTTGTTCTGATTATTTTGGAGATGGGAGGGTGTCTCATGAATTACTTGCCCAGGCTGGCCTCCAACTGCCATCCTCCCGATCTCAGCCTCCCAAGCAACTAGGATTACAGGCCACCATTGCCCAGCTTAAATATATTTTTGAGTCAGGCATGGCAGTACACCTCTGTAATCCCAACATGCAGGAGGCAGACTGGGAATCGAACACCAACTGGGGCTACACAGATTGTCACACACACACACACACACACACACACACACACACACACACTACAGACAGATTTTTTTTCCTTCCCTTTTTCCAGACTGATGGACTTGGTTAGTGGTGGATTAACTGGCAGAGAATAAAGTAATTCACAAGATGTGAGTGACCATCCATACTACCCTCTTTCTCCCAAAGTGTAGGCATTAAGAAATTTGCATTTCGAAGAAATAATTGGAGAAATTTTATATGAAACTATTTTAGACAGAGACAGTTTGGGCTCACTGCAGAACTATTTCTAGGCCAGCTGCAAGGCTAGTCAACTTAGTACAGAATTTACAACCCGAAACAAGGGTGGGAGACTGGAAGAGGCTTTCTTAGCAAAGTCCATTTATGTATGACCAGATTCTACCACAAACTTCTAACAGTGCTCATTGACTATAATTTTCTGTTCACAACTTTAGAGAGGAAAAAAAAAAGAAATGTAAACACAAGGAATTGTAATTCTTCCTCAGAAAAATGAAGGAATCTCCTTACCCTCCCTAAAAAGGCACTTCTGAAACAGGCAGTCATCCATCTGCATGATACAAAATACAAGGATCTTGGGGGAAGTTTATAGTGCCCACCATTCTGGTTTATTCATACCACATTTTTCCAAGAATATTACCACACATAAAATCAGAACATGAAATCCAATGCCCTGACAGAGGGTTCCAAACGGAGCCCCTCAGATTACAGGAATCCACCAGATCGCTTGCCCAGACTGGCACACTGAGGAACCTTGAAAGTATTCCTTGACACTTGAGAATGGAGTTACAAACTCAGTTTTCAGAAGATAAACCTTTGAAAAGGATATATTAAAGATTCATCTACATCACCTACAGGAAACTTTAATTTAGAAATTAGCTGCTTTGAAAATACCATAACCTGGATACCAAAGCAGGATATCTGTCACCACACAAAAAATATTTTAGAAACCTGATCTAGTATTTGTGGTATTTATTTTCTTTCATGTTTTATAACTACCTTTAGTCACTTTATCTTATTTTAAGAATTAAAGGAAATGAAAGAAATGCCGGAGAAGACTAGCAATTTGGTAGGCAACAGGATAAAAATCAAGCTGAAACAATCAGGATTCTAGGTGACCGACATACAAGCCATCCCTAAATTTAAAAGCTAAATTTTGTCTTTTAAAGTGACTGTTTTAATCAGTTTAATAACCTATCTCTAAATTTTAAAGTAAAACATGCTGCTTATGACACAATTAGGTATCTGATGCACCAATTAAGTGTTTAAAAATCTTTGTATCATAGTATGTAAGTACATAAAAATATGCTGATCTTGCAAAGCTGAGTTCAAACTCCAATCTCATTCAAAAAAAAAAGTTGATCTAACTTTCTGCTATTACAAAAAAAAAAAAGTTAAGCCTGAACAGGAGTGAACAGAATAAACAACTAAATGAGACTTAGAAATTGGCCTTTGATTTTAAGTATTTAATTTGTTCTTATAAGCCTTGTCAAAAAAAAAAATCTATGATGTTTAAAAAGAAAAAAAGATTGAAAATCAAAAACAAACAGCACTCACCAAGTCAGACTGCTATACCAGCACAGCATACTGTGTGGCTACTGCCTCTCACACCATCAATTCCTAGAAAAGTTCCCTGATACCTGCAAAGAGGTCCAAAACAAATTCCTGCCTTGGCAATTCCTCACAATCACTATCCACATGGGATTGGCCCTAAATTCCCTAAAACAAAGCTCTTAATCATATCCCTCTTCCAATATCCTCTCTTATGGAAAGTATGTTATTTCCCGTCTTTTCCCTCTAAATACTGCCTGTCCACACCCTCAATCTCTGACCAAGTCCTCAAAAAGAAAATGTTCCTTCTACCTCTCCAAATCTAGACCCTTCATTAATTCTCTTCCCCCTTACTTTCCACCACCAGTAAGACAAAGATTTTCTCTGGAGGTGGAGATGCCTTCAACCACTGCACTGGAGCAGCCCTAGGTTTCCTTCCACCTAAGTGTACACCCTATTTTCCTTCTTAACCTCAATATTCTGGTTTACCAACTCCACAAAACATAAGCACAATGGATCACTGACTCCTGAATAGCCAAATAACTGCTGAGCAACCTCTCTTTTTCTAACTCCTGCCTCCTTCTGTTTCTGCTGGCTCTGCCTTGGCCTTCAAGTCTCCAAGGGGAGTTCAAGGTTGTTTATGCACTAAGGTCTTCCCTCCTTGCATCCTAAGTCATCTCCATTGTCCTCTTAGAAATGACATCAGAAAGCAGTCTTAGACTTACCTATCTCCCAAGACCTCGATTCTATCTTCATGAAACCCTTCAACTTTATCTCCAATATATTATTATTTATGGGTCCAAAACCAAATCCACCAGTCTTCCTGGGATTCTCTTCCATCCCCCCTTACTCCCCATTTGTACCAACTGTATCACCACCAATTCAAATTTCTTTTCACACGTTGCCATCAACATCTGTTTTTTTCCATGTATGTATATTACAACTCTTTTCTAGTTAAAATGGCTTTTCCATATTAAGATCTCAACCACCATGGCTGCAGGTCTGCTTCTTCCAGAATTCAAAGGGACAGCAGGGCCCAGAAGAGGAAGTTGTAAGGCTCTCTTACCATGGATAAGCACACTCACCCTCAACTCAAACTCAGCGTGGGAAAGGAAGGCACAGAAGAATATATGACAGGAGAGAAGCTTACTAATACCACTGCCTTCAGGTCACCTGCCACAAACATCTGCAATGTTCCAGGGCTACTGACCCTCCCTGTACATAAATTTCTGTTCAGCCCACAAGCTGAGAAGGCCCCAACCTCTTGAGCGAAACCATTAAATAAAAAGACCTTTACTTTTCACTCAAAATAAGTCAACACTGTGACTATTTTAATGCAAGGACGTCAGATCTTTAACGTGATTTTAAAAAACAAAATCCCTCTCAACCAGCTTCTACAAGTCAACTCTGACAAAGTATCTATCCCCTTGGGCCTAGGGCAATCAATGAAATAATCTAGGCAAAGCACCTTCTATAGAAAATCTGCCTCCTGAACGGAAACAAGTACACACTGGACCAGGTAAGGCAAGTAACTAACAACTTGTGCCACAATTGCTTCCCCGGTCTCATCATAGACTACACAAGGAGGACTGAACGTTAGATTCAGCTGGTTTCCTGGGAATCGGGTTAGTAGTGCTGAGGAGTTCAGAAGAACTGCTTCCACACATCAATCAAATGATGAAGTTGGAGGAGAGACTGTTTTGTTAACAAAACAAACACGATTTCAAACAACAAACCCACCAGGTGAGTAAGTCTCCGAGACAAGGATTCGTGGTGCGCACGGACCCCCCTTTACCACTTGGACCCTTGGGTCCAAAGCCATTCGCGCACCTGTGGGCCAGAGGACCGCGCTGCGGAGCCACCTACGACCCCCGGGAGGGATCGGGGCGGGGTGAGGGGCACCCACCACCGGAAGGCGGCAGTTTGCAGATGCGGGTTAGGCGGCCCCCTAGCTACGCAGAAGTCCGCTCTGGGCTGCGTTTCCGGGTGGTCTAGCGCTCATTCGGAATTAACCGCGCGGTCTCAGTGGGCACGAGGAGGAGAGAAAGTCGCCCCGGGCCTGGGGCGCTCGGCCCGGCCCGGCCCAGCTCCGCGCGCCCACCCGGCCGTCCTACCGTGGCTCTGCAGGATCTCGTGCTTGAGGCCGCCGGTGTAGTCGATGAGCTCCTCCAGGCCGCGCTCACACAGCTGCCCGTAGCCCGAGAACTTGTGCAGCACCTTCTCCAGCTCGCGCTCCACGGTCACGCACTGATCCATGCCGGAGGCGGCGGCGCTCGGCTCCCTGGCGCCCGGGTGTCCGCAGCCGTTCAGCCCGGGCCCCGCCGAGGCCGCTTCCTGCTCTTCGTCCCCCAGGCGGACGGCGCGGACTACTGAGGAGGCGAGCGCGCTAGCCGCGGCGCCGGGGGAGCCCCGCGCAGCCCGTGCCCGCCTGCCCCATGGCGCCCCGGCCCCCCGGCGTGTCGCCTCTGCTCCCGCTCACTACTAGCTCGCTCGCCCCACCCAGCGCCGCGTCCCCGGCCCTCCACTCGCCGCGTTCGGCCGCCCGCGGCGATGCCGCCGATTGTTTTTGTTTTCACGGGAACCGGCCGATGACCTGGTTCTCCCGGGCGGCACCAAGAGCCGCCGACCGGGAGGGGTCAGCCTCCCCAGCGAAGGAAAGAGGCGGCTCGGACCGTACCAAAGGCGTCTTCAGAGAGGGGAGCAGCCCAGCGAGCGCGTGGGGGGGGGAGGGGGAAGAGAACGCGAATGCGTCCGCACGCGCCGCCCCTCTATAGGTGTGGGCCGTACCACAGGGAAGGCGTGCAAGGGAGAGGGAGAAGGTAGAGCGAGGACCCAATTGGTCCGAGGAGCTAAACAGGGAACTTTGGGGACAGCCCCAGCGCTCGGAAAGCGCCACAACTACGCGCCCCGTAAACAAGGGGGTGGAAACCGTCCCCAACCACTCCGCCCAGAAACGGGGAATACGAACCAATAGGCGTGGAGAATAGGTAAGAAAGTAAGGTCCTCCAATCCCTGGCCGAGGCGAAAACCTTCAGCCAATCTGGGTTGGGGGGGCCAAACCAATGGGTTCACTGTTGGAGGGGGTGACTTGAAGAGCCTATCCAGAAGTGTGCCATTTCTGGAAAACCGTGGGGGAAAACAAGACAGAAATTAAAAGGGGTATTTTCCATAGGACTTCGTCCTAATCTCTGTTTCTGCCATTGCCGCATCGCTCTCAAGGGCAAAGGTTCCGATATTGCGAAGTTTTGCTAGAGAGACCCGCCTCCCATGATGAAAAAGCCTGCCAGGCCGCCTGGGGGCGGGAGGGGTAGCTCACCCGGTTTGAAGGCGGGGGCGGTTCTGGGCTCCGATGAGGAAGCTGCCTGCCGGTCTCCTCGGGCCCCATGGGCGGTCAGTGCCACCTGGGCACTTGCGACACCCGGAAGGTTACACTCCCCACCCCACCTTACCTTGGAAGTCTCCTGGCCGGTTGCCTCGCCTGGATGCTAAGTGCCAAGCAGCTTCGCGAAGGGGAAGGAACACGTGCGGGCCAGCTGGCCAGCTTGGCCCTGGCTCCTTGCGGCTCAGAAGCCTTACTGCGTTGAATCCGATGGGGTTACCGCCCAGCCCCCGGCGCCTCCAACCTTGGCCTGTAACCTCTTCTGCGTTCCTCCCCAGAGCCCAGAGCCTCTGCACTTGGCAGTTCCTGGGCCTGGGAATCTCTTGCACCTTTCTCACCCTAAACTTCTCAGCTCACTTGTCGGCTCAGAGCCCCAGCCGCCATCACGTTAGTGTAACCTCTGTCTTCCTGCACACCGCCCACCACTTCATCATATTTATTATAATAGCTATTGTAGCGCCTGTTTTATTTTTTTCCACACCACTTACCAAAGTCTGTAATGATTTTACCTTGTTGTCTGCACCACTTCGATAAAAGGTGGGCCCTTTACCATCTGTTTCTTGCCTACAACAGTGCCAGCACTCCATCGGCAAGCTTTCCCCTCTTACATTAAGGTGGTATTTTGAGGTCTCGGTTTCCTTTATATAACTTGGAAACAACTGAAATGAATAATGCTTCAATGAATTGTTAGGTAGATTAAATGAGATAGATAATATAGATGACTGCCCATAATACTCGAGACAAACTGACAGTGGTGATTATTAGGGCAGCCTCAACTGATGATAGGACCGATCTTTCTTCTCCCACTTATTCCATTTTGCTTTCTTGACAGATGACCCTGATTCCTGCTTTGCTAAGATTTAAAACAAAAACAAAACAAAACAAAACCCCTGCCACTCTGCTCAAAGGTTTTCTGTCTACCATTGGTTTTGTGAATGCTCTCATAAACCCAAAGGAAGAGGAGTCCTTTCTCCCTAAGACAACTCTGGGACCTGCTGGCTGCATCTCACAAGTCTTGTCCAAATCTTCTTTCTTGGTTCACTGTTTTTTTTCTTTCTGCTTTCAGACTGAATGAGTCTGATCCACTTATTTAACCCTCCTCAAGCTGTTTCCTCAATCCTTTTCACCGCCAAACTGAACAGATAAATCAATACTTATTCCTTCTTTTCTTCAAGGATCTTGATAAGCTCAGTCACCTTTTTCTTGCTTTTTTTTTCTCAAAGAGAGAACAATTAAAATAATCCATGTAAGTCACTCCACATAATAATGCCTGGCACAAGGTAAGAGCTGTTATTATCCACTGATCAGAAATAATCAATGACTCTCCATCACTTACAGCTTCAAACACTAACTCTCAGCTGCATGGTCTTCCCAGTGTAATAACCCATCACATCCCCGACCTCCATCCTTCCACCCATCACCGTCATTCTGAATGTGAGTTGAGCACAGCTCCTTCATGCTTTTTCTTCTCCTGGACACTTATTCTTAGCTTTCAAATTTTCCTGTTCTTCAGGTAATAAGACAGGTTTTATTTACCTATTGATACCTTCTAGAACCTGGACCTGCACTGTGCGGTGCAGTAGGCACCAGTCATGAGTAACTATTTAAATTTAAATTGGAGTTAAATTAAAATCTTAACTCCTTAATTGCACTAACCACATTTCAAATACTCAGTTTCCACATATGGCACAGAATGAATATTTCCATATCTGTGGAATGTGCTAATCCAGACCATGTCTTCAGTAATGTTACCTATCTTACCTTTGACAGCTGTGGTTCATTTAATACCTGCCTGCATACTGCTCCCTATTTCTAGTTAACTTTCCCAACATGCACATTGTTAACTACAGTGTTAGTCAAGTAGCTAACAGGTCAGAACTCCTTTTTTTGTCTTTATGACTTAACCAACAGAGAGTAAGTATTTGTTAAAGGAACAAGATAAGTAAATTAGAAGAGAGGAGGATTCAAATTCAGCTAAGAGATAAAAATAGCACAAAAACTTTAATGTTCTCTGTCTTTGCATGGCTCTTCTTACCAGCTGTATAATTGCTTTAAACCTAAACATTGAATTCTCAGAGAAGGATCTTTAGAAGAAGCAAGAGGTGTTCTGGTTTGAAAATGAAATGTCCCACACAGGATTGGTGCCCAGCTGCTGGTGCTATTTTAAGAGGTTCCAGAAACTTTAGGAGGCGGGGCCTAGTTTCAGGAAGTAGGTCACTGGGGGAGTGCCTTTGAAGGTTATACCTGGTCCCTAGTCCTTTCCTCAGTTATCTGCTTCCTGTCTCCCATGAGGTGAACGACCTCCTCCACCATGTGCTCCTGACACTACGATGTGCTGCCTTGGAACACGACCAAGCAAACAGGAACGGAGCCCTCTGAAATGGTGAGCAAAGTTAAGCCTTTTCTCCATTTAAGGTATTTCTGCCAGGTATTTTGTCATAGCAATGAGATGAGTTAACTAATAAAGGGGAAATTTTTAGTTTTCAAAGCAAACTGCATTTTTACTACACAACAAAAAAAAGAATTGGCATATATACACATACCAATAAAAACCCACACCACCATGGAATAGACTCCCACCTCCACATTCTATTCGGTCTGGACAATCTTTACACTTATTTTGGACTTTACTCTGGTCCTCCCCTCCACACTAAATTTGATTCTCAGCTAGGCACCTGTGGCTCACGCCTATAATCCTAACTAACAGGGATGCAGAGATCAGGAGAATCAAAATAGGAAGCCAGCCTAGGCAAATAGTTCATGGACCCTATCTCGAAAATACCCAACATAAAACAGCGCTGGCAGAGGGGCTCAAGTGGAGAGTACAGGCCCTGGGTTTGATCCTAGAATCACCTAAAAAAGGAAAAAAGAAAACATTTTGTCTTTTGACCAAAATACTATTCATTGTAGGAAAATTTTAAAATTTAAATAACAAATGAAGATCCCATGAAATCCCAAGACCCAGGGGGAAAAATCAGCTTTAACATCTTCTATTTATGTTTCCCACATAACTAGGATGACAGGCGCAAACCATCATGCCCAAGTCATTGGCTGAAATGTGGTCTTGCAAACTTTTTGCCCAGGGCTGGTCTTGAACTGCCATTCTCCCAACCTCTGCCTCCTTAGTAGCTGGGATTACAGATGCGAGCCACCAGCACCCAACAAAATACATTTTTTGGGGGGAACTGTTTGATTGATTCTTTGAAGCCTGAAACCAGACAGAGGCAAGCTAGAAAAAAACAAATTTCATCTCTTAGATTTAAGAAATTATTTAAAAATTTGTTACTGTTTATAGATGTACTTTTATGCAAAATAAACTTTCAGATAAGGATTAGAAAGACTATGTTTATAATTATTGTGAAAATGAATCAGCATGGTTTGCAATGACCTTCTGGAGAAGACCTTACTAATTTCCTGACTTTATTCTAGCTCATTGTCAGTGAGGGTAAACTGTGTTATTAAGAAAGACTGAATTTATTTTTAAGAAATAAATTTCCATCATAGTCACACTAAAAAAAAAAAAAAAACTAAGTAGTAATTTCTGAAAATTACTACTATGACCAGTTTAAGCTGGTGGAGTGGCTCAAGCAGTAGAGTGCCTGCCTAGCAAGCATGAAAAGAAACCCTGAGTTCAAACCCCAGTACCACAAAAAAAAAAAAAAATGCCCTATGACCAGTTTAAGAAATGGATTAAAGCGCATCTATATGCAAAAAGTATTGTTTTGAACGTTTGAATTATTTTATATTTTCTGTATGGTTTGGGGCACATTTAAATGCCTATTTATTAGCTGGAGAAAGTCATTATGACATACTCTGGGGACTTTGGTGGGCAGTGTTGACAATAATGTTTCTTCAGTGTCCACCAGCCCCTTCTTTCAGCTCTACTAACATTTGTTAGTAGCAAAGCCTTTCCGTGGTAGCCGTCATCCCTTCTGGAGGCCAGGGCAGTTCTAACCTGGCTACTCACCAGTTAAGTTACCCTTTTCTAGACTTCCACGAGGCTGGTATACAGACATTGCCCAGTACTTAGTGCTCAACCTGGAGAGGGAATATATACATTTCTCCAGATTTTATTGGTCTGAGTCTTTTTCTTTCTGGAATCTGTATGTCTTTGTTTCTTGCTTACTCTTGTGTGCTTTACCAGGTAGAGCAGGAAGGGTGCTAGCACTGTAAGCTAGAAGTAATTCATTCAACTCCTCCCAGCCCCAGTTTCCTTATCTATAAAATGAGAAGCTTGGAATAAATGACCTTTAAGTTCCGGCTCTAAAATTACAGAGATGTCAATGCTTATTAAGTAACATGAGGAGTTAAACAAGAACAGATGGATTAGT